GAAGGAAGGAAGGAAGGAAGGAAGGAAGGAAGGAAGGAAGGAAGGAATCTTCCTGAGACACAGACGCCCAAGGAATAAAAGATTAGGTAACATATATACTAAAATGCCTGTCTGCCCCTAAACAGATGGAAGTTCTAGTGCCTGAATATTGTCTCTTTAAATGAGAATAAATGGTTCCTTCTATCCTTGACGCCTTCACTACTGGACTTCTCCTTTCTACTTCATTCCTTTCTGTCATTTTTTTTCAACAAGCGTGCGTAGGTACTGTTCTGTTTTGAGTGTGAAACACCGGGTACTGATTGGCTCCTGTTCTTGTTGGCAGGTTGTGTGACAATCTGCCCAAAGTTCCAGGAACCAGGCCTGTCACAAGCTTTCCCTGAAACTGTGACCCAAAAGAAATGCTTGCTCTCTTAAGTCGCTCCTGGCAGATAGATGGTCACAGAAATGGGAACGGACACACATACTTTTTTCATGTAGCTTTATTGATGAGTTCTTCACACACACACAGCAAGCTCTATTGTATATATTTATATGGTCAGGAAAAAACAAACAATGAAACTAGTTTTCTTTCTAAAGTGGAATTGTCCGTCCCCCAAATTATCATTACAAAGAAATTTTAAATGGGCAATTCCAGCGGGAAAGCTGCAAGTGGTAAAAGAAATTTTCCTGAGGATTTCTTGTGCAGAGTATGTGACCCAAATATATAGGTCCTTGCCTTCCACAGTCTGTTGAGGACACCACGGTGAAGACACTAACACTGAGGGTCTATCCTCTAGAAAGATTTTTCATGTGCTGTGTTCAATTTATACAAACAGACAAGTGCAAATTTAACAGATTAATCTCCAAATTAGCATTTTATTTTAGTAATCCCCATTATTCCGCATCATGAATTAAGGTGGCCTTTAAACTAAAGAGGTACATTCTCTGATGTCCAGGGAGAGGGTGTCATGCCTGGAGGCAGAACAGTACCAGTGGGGAAACTGCACATACCTATTCTATGCTGCGGAAAGTTACAGTTGTGAAGACCATGCTGAGGCATGAGGAAATGCCTCACTCTGCACATCAAAGAGAATTCTGACTGGCAGGAAATGGGAGCAGCATGAATGGTAAGGCAGTAGGTACCAGACGTGGCCAAATGATCCAGTCAGTTCTAAGCCACTTTTGTCATGGAGACAGTAAGCTGCGAGGTTATCATTCACTTCAAATAAGAGGAAATTTTAATTCCATTCCTCATGATAAAAACTATGCACCGCTTCCCGTACCAATAAAGTAACAGTAAACCGCTGAGTCCAAATCATATTTTACCTTTTTTCCTTAATGTTAGAGGAGTAGGTGAAGGTAGTCACAAACATTTAAATACACATGCAACTGTGTTATATAGCAATGTGTAGAAAGCAAAATGACAGGTAGAAAGATTTTAGTCTTCACATTAAAGAAAAATAATCACTAAAATAAATAAAACTATCGGATAGAAACCAATATGGCCACCCATTGAATCCTCTGAACAGCAGGCTTGGCTGTCATGTGATCTATAACTTCACTGCTGCAGGCTATGGGAAACTGAGCCGGGGGTAAGTGGGGGCTTTGACACTTATGTAAATCCAGCCAAGTCCACTAATATGTCTTTTTCCTTGCCAATCTTACCTCGAGTTCAGCAACTTGAAAACTGGGTTCTCAAGAAATGAATCAGTTTCACAGCTGGAAGCAGGCCTCATAAATCTAGAAGAGGCGGCGGGAACATGTCAGCAAAGAATGGGGTTAATGTTTCACCTCTGTTAGATTCCATTTTGGGGGTTCAGTATGTTTCCTAAAAAACCCTGTGTACTCATGGCTCTGGCCATATGGAACTTCTCTGAGATTTTCCCAACAACCTAAAAGCTGTTAGCATATTCAACAACTGAATTAAATGTCAGAAAAATCTACCGTATTTGGTTTTAGAACATTTGTAATGACAGGAAGTCCGCTAACTTTTTCACGGGGTGGTTTTCCTCTTACTACATTTACTTGTTTGTTTTGTGTGTTGCGCACGGCATCCTGTGGAGGTCAGAGGACAGCATTCCGGAGTCAGCTCTCTTGCCACCGCGTAGGCTGTGGTGACTGAACTCATGATGTCAGGCTTGGCATCCAGCATCTTTACCTGCTCATCCAGCCTAAGCTGATTTTTCCAATAGTCTCTTGCTGAACACAGAAATCCTGGGTATAATAAGAGAAGATGATCTCTAGGTGGTGCCAGATGCAGAAAAAGATTTGCTGGTTCATGTGTGGACAGATTCACCCGTGTCCGTAGACTCTCTCAAGGTTCAGATCCCTGGCAGAACTCCCAAATCACTGCTGAAAATGCCACTTTCCTGGGAGGCTACATCTGAGCCTGCCTAACTATCCAGGATGGGAAAGGAGATGGGGCGGATGTGGAGCTGCCAGGAGAAAGGTTGGTGTACCCAGACAGCAAGTGACACCGGAGCTCCTGGTCATACTGGCATGTACTGCTAGTGCCTGCCACAATATGAAATGGAAGGCAGATCTTAAACTAACCTTTTGCAAGGCTTCTCATAGAGGAAAACATTTCTAATATTCTCTATACATTTTTTGAGACAGCGTTTCTCTGTGCAGCCCTGGCTGCTCTCGAACTTGCGCTCTAGACCAGGCTGGCCTCGAACTCACAGAGAGTTTGAGTGCTGATCTACATACACAACTACAGACAGAACATACTGCAACCACATACACACAGACAGACATAAGCTGAGTTGTGACCTTACATCTTCTCATTGAAATGACCAACTCAATGCACATGCTGGCTTTAATAAAAATGGAACACTTGTATCAACATATTTTATTTATTTTTTGAGACAGGGTCTCACTGTGTAGCCCTGGCTGACACTTGAACTCACAGAGATCTGCCTGTCTCAGAGTCCTGGAGGGCTAGGACTATAGACACACACCACCACGCCTGTTCCACGTTTCATTTCTTAGAACTAGAAGGGCTGTAGTCACGTAAGTTTGTAATAGACACGTACGTTTTGTAATAGACATACTACAGAAAATGTGGAAATGTGCGTATTCTTTGGTTATATACGACTATATGCTTTTGTGTGTCTTTCACGTCTCCTAATAGCTTCCCCTTACTATGCAGCAGTGACACAGTGACCATAGAAGCTATGTAGTTTCATATAGGACTGATTATTCCATTCTACATTTATTTAGACAGATTTCTATATTCAACCACAATTTCAGTGTAAGCTTACAGAAATAGTGTTTGTTAGGTCCAATACAATAAATACAGTTATTTCACAGACTTTAAAATAACAGCCACCACTTTTGTCCAAGCCCGCCAGGAGACAGCCTAAGGCCGTGAGGCCGCCGGAGGGTCGCCATGGTTTGCTTTTTCTCCAGAGACAGAATGCTTCAGAAACTGGCCAGTAGCCCCGATGTACAGCCTTGATCGCATGGGCCACTTCTGAAAAGAGAGTACTTAAATAAGCCTCTGAGAGTTAGTATCGATGGCATACAGTGCAGGCATGTAATGTTCAAGTCTTAAAACACACCAGTGCTAACGAGATGTTACCTAGCTGCTAAGGAGCATAATTACACAGTCTATGGGACAACATGAAGACTGTGTATCAGTGCTACCGATGACGGCAACTGTAAAAATGATGGACGTGTGTTTGACAAGAACTGCAAGAACATTGCTGAAATGTGGAAAGTCTACCACTGTATTTTAATTCCAAGCTAAAGCAAAATTAAGCTTAAAATAGGAATTCTGAAGAAACAGTGCTCAGTTATATACGAAGTAGATGCTGGAAAAAGAATGGCATTACATTGAAAGGATTCGGCAGCCCCTGAGCAGCAATGGCAGGCAACTTTCACAAAACAGCCCGCACTTTTGAGTGTAGGTTTTCTGTCTCCCAGTGGGTGACTAGAGATGATGATAATGCACTTTATGTTTTCTAATATGCCTGAAGAAATATTTTTGAACATTTATAGTACAGATATCCAGTGTCAGCAGGGACAGACGTGATCACCCTGACTTGAACATGACCGAATATGCACACTGAAACACAATCATGTATCTCACAAATAGGCAAAATTTTCATATGCTAAGTGAAACTGAAGAAAAAAATAAAAATGTTAGTAACTGGATATATGATATTATCAGGAAAGCTGCTTTTCTGTGGCAGCCAAGAAGAGTCCTATTTAAACGTCTCCACGTGTGATCAGAGAACACAGCCCTGCACCCTTCCTCTGGTATGCTTATTAAATCATATATATTATAAATTCTTAGGTTTGCATGCAAAGTAATAAAATTCATTATAGCACCTTCATGTGCATGTATGTGTCATTATACTCTGTTCTCTAGCGTAAGGTATATTTAAAAATATGTAGTTTTGTTTAAACTTATAAAAAACATAGCAATTAACCAAAACCGAGCCCAAATTGAAGATCTTTAAAAAAATGCTCCCTTACTCTAATTAACTGGTCCCCAAACAGCAGCATCCCACAGTTTTAAAATTCTTGCTTATCATCATTAAGGACAATGATTCCCATGGGGTTTGGCAATCAAGAGAGTCATCTGTGCTTTTCTCCGGGAGAATTGTCCCTTTGGGCCCCTAGAGCTGGTTGAAACTGCTAATTTTCCAAGTGGATAAAAATAGGTTTAGACTAGGCTGCAGAAGTTCAGTTCTTAAACTTCCCTTCTTCCACTTTAATGCAAAGACCCCAGGGTCTGGCAAACTCCAACCAGGAATACGATCCTGACTGTACCCCCCTCAGCCATCTGCCATACTCCACAGCCCCCAATCATTCTAACATGCTCATAATATTGGTAAAAAGGACTGATGATTCAAACTGACAGAGCCGGAATATTTGTTAAATATCGTTAGTATTTTGTGTAGCACTGAGAAACACTGCTGTATTACAGGAATAGTAGTTTTAGAACAGTTACGAGGGGCTACCTATGGTAGTTTATAATGAGGCTTTACTTACTCCAAGGTAAGAAACGATCAGAACATTTTTATTTCCTTTATGTAAAGGACAGACTTCATATTTAAACATTTCAGCAGTAGCCATAAAATGTAGACAGGCAATTTCAACAAAGTATGTGAAGTTTCTGTCTTCTGAAACTCCACTTAGACTATTTTTTTAAATAAGTATATTTGTCCTTACAGTACTATAATACAATTTATATTTTTAGCTATATATTGTATTCACTTAGAGCAGGGATTGAGTCTTACAGTTGTATTCCCTGTCCTAAAGCAGAGATTTCTACATAGTATCAGATCAAATTTCTTATTTGAAAACAGTCACTTGTTAACTGTCATCAATTTCATCTTTTATGAGATATTCATTGGCCTTCTATAATTATCTCTACATTTAAAATTCACATAGCATGGACATTGGCTTGTAAGAGCAGACAGCAAATTAGATTGATTTTTCTTAAAACAATTATGACTGTAAAAACACTTGAAATGTGAGTCAACTCTAGTGCTGGCTTGCTATGGCCACTTTCCAACACGGACGTCTCCAGCAGTTTCTCATTCAAGAAAGCCTTGTGTGACACTGAGGTAAAGACTTGACTTTGCTCTAAATTGAGACAGGGTTTCTCTGTGTAGCTTTGGCTGTCCTGGACTCACTTTGTAGAATAGGCTGGCCTTGAACTCAGAGATCTGCATGTCTCTGCCTCCCTAGTGCTAGGATTACAGGCATGTGCCATCGTGCCCGCCTGGTATTGAAATCTTAATGCTCAAATGAACTTTCTTGGAATATATGGCAAATATCAAGTCAAAGAAAGCTATCTCTTAGTGAGATATTTGGATAGTGGATATTTGGATTAATCTAATGCTCACTATAATACAAAATTCTTAATTGTAATGAGTGTCTTTTCAGCTGTTACATTATAAAACTCAGTGACAGAATGGATTCTATCATAAATAATCATAAATAATATTTCACACTTAACATTTGAACTGCTTTAAGTCTATGGCCATGTATTTTCAAAGTAAGTTTTGTTAAAATGCACTCTATAAATTTAAGTACAAACACTAGAGAATGTGTTTTATTACATTTCAACAGAATTTAATTCATTTTTGTTAGCCGTAATCTATTCAGCACTTAGCTACTAGAGACTGCGTTCTAATTGTATTTGTGTTCAAATATTTCAGAACTGTGGGACAAAGATGTGAACATTTAAATTTAGCAAATACAGAGAAAGCAGTCTGAAAGATGACGTACTGACCACTGTACTCCAGGTGAAAACTCAGGTCTGTGTAAAGAAGTTACGCGAAAAGGTGTCTCCTGGCTAATTTGAATACAGACCAAATCACTCAACATACACGCCAATCTAACAGGACAGTTACGCGAGACGTGATGGTGTTTTCCTAACATCCTCAGTAGCCCTGTTAGTCCATTTGACCGTGATTGAAATGTCACCAGGTTTTCACCCGGGACGGGTCGCCTACCTTAACGGGATGCAGGTAGCCGTCGCCTCGCAAGGCGCCGAGGCCGGGGTCTCCCGGGGCGTCGGTGCCGTCCTGCAGGCTGCGGGTGAGGTGGGCGATGTAGGTGGTGGCCAGCAGCAGCACGTCCAGCTTGGACAGCTTGGTGTCGGGGGGCACGGACGGCAGCGTGCGCTGCAGCTCCAGGAAGGCGTGCCGCAGGGTCTGCACGCGGCTGCGCTCCCGCGCGGCGTTGGCGGCGGCGGGACGGCCCCCGCCCCCGGGGCGCGCCGCCGCGACCCCGCCGG